ACTACCCTCCCCAGACCCCACTTAGTGAGACTTTACTGGGTCGTTGTTGTTGTTGTTGATTTTCCAAAGCAAGTTAGTCTTTCAAGAAGATTTGCCTCCTTGGTTAGATTCCGAGAGAAGCGAAATGAGAGATGTTTTGACAAGAAAATAGATATAGTGTCAGGAAGGAGGTTGCTCAAAGGTAAAATGATATGCGTTGTTACTATTTTGGTTTTCTTTGAGATTTTAACCTTGCAATGATATTGAAATGGGAAATTCGGTGCACAAAGCATCCCACATTCACGTAGGGTCTGGTGAAGGGTTGCCCCCAAAGGGGTGTGATGTAGACAACCCTACCCTAATGCAAGCATCCAAGGCTCCCCTTCCTGGCAATGATATTTGATGATGTGAAATTGTTAATAAAAAAAATAATAAAAAGATGATATTGGTTTGTCAATCATAAAGAATGGGAATTGCTGTTTGCGCGCTTTCTTTTGATGTTCTTTTTAAACACTCTTTCATGTCCAGGTGTTAGTAACATGGTATCAATGTCATTTACAGATACTGTTTTTCCAATTTCACATGATGTCCGTTTGTCCTCAAATCTTCTTCTGTGATAGAATTCATATAGTGATTGAATTCATATAGTAATAGTGTATTTACAAGATCGGTTCTTTGGTTGATATGCAATCAGCCAAATGCTCATCTCTTCTTTTAAGTTTTGGATTAGGTTCCTGTCTGTGTCGATGGTTTCTCATGCTAAGATTTTGCATATAGTGGAAGCCGTAGTATTAATCCAAACTGAAAATGAAAAGGACAATAATTTTGATCTGAACAGGTAGCAAGTCTTTATGAGAGGAAACATGGATTTTGGTCGATTTGCTTTGGAAAAGTAGAGCTTAAAAGAATTTGTCCCTGAAAGACTGAAAGACAGTGGCTTTTCTTCTCCTCCAACACCACCCCCCCCCCCCCCCCAATAATAATAATAATAATAATAATAAGAAGCTTCAAGCAAAATTTAAAGAAACTTATTTTTTTAGTTCAACAAGAAGCAATTTCGGGTATAAATGTTGAGGTTTTGAGTATAGCTTACTTGGCGATGTATATTAGGATGCATCGGAAGAATGGTCAATTTGCATCTTTGAAAGCAAGTTCTTGATCTTCTAGCTGTGACTCAGCCAAGAGTAGCCTTGAAGGAGATGGCACTCAGCATTCTGAAACTGTGTGAGTCTACATCTTTTTACCACTTTTATTGCTTCAGCCTCTACTAATTGATCTACTTCTGCTCTGACCGCAAAAGTGCCAATCTTTTTTCCTGCTTGATTCTTTCTGAATTATTAGTCCTGTAAAGTGTCACCATTGTGGTGTGAGTGAAAATTGTACGCCAGCAATGCGTCGTGGGCCAGATGGACCAAGGACACTCTGCAATGCATGTGGACTAAAGTGGGCAAACAAGGTACGCAAGACAATCTTTTCTTTTTCTTCATCTTAATGATCTTTAGGTTCTTCGCACAATTTTCTTCTCATTTCTTTTGGTGGTGGGAAGTTCAAATGAACTGCTATTTTCACCTACATTCTGGGCCAATACTTTAAAAATTGCGGCAAGCACCAAATGGATTTGTTTTCGCCTAATCAAATCAGCTGATTTGGATGTATAGGGAACATTGAGAGATCTAAGCAAGGGAGCGAGGAAAATATCTGTTGAACCAAAAGAACTGGTATGTTTCATCAGCAAGAATGAGAAATTTGTTAGTGGTGTGAAGAACTATATTCCTACATGCTATATCTAGTATACTGTTATTTGGCTGTGTATACGTGCTATTTCTCCTTCACAAAAAGGACCTCCTGAAAATGTTAACTCATTCATCCACCTTAGTGTTCCTGATACATAAGAAAATTGAAGTTTTGTTTTTTACATGTGGGAGACATCCATGGATGTCATACGTCTAATTTAGAAGGTCAAAACTTCTCCAGTTGCTAGGATGAACATATATGGAAGCACTTTATTACAAAATCCTCTCTCAGGCATCTTATGCTGCTTGCAGGGAACTCTGGACAATCCCATGAAGGCCTTTGCTGAAGGATCTCTTGATCAGTGTGCTGATGTAGAAAAGGTAAATTTTGATTTTTTTTCAATTATGTATACGATGTTATATATTTTCTCATATGCTATATTCTAGCACACACTTTTTAATAGTAATGGTTGAAATATTTCCTCATAGGTTCACTACAAAAAAATGCTTATTTTGAGGGGGTTATTTTGACAATTTGTGACGGTTCTCAACCTCCACAGAATGTGTTGCGGCGGTTTTAAAAAACGCCACAGTTATGAGTGCCACGAGCAATATTGAGGCGGTTTTGTAAAACCCCCACGACGAACCCCGCAAATTGAATTTTTAATTTGTAGGGGTTTTCATGGACAATTAATGGCGATTTATAACCTCCACAAAATATTACCAATGTTTTAAAAAAAGTTACTTGTGGGGGTTTATAACCCCCTTAATATGATCTCGCTGCTTAAAACAAATAATGAATGTGA